CATTTCCTCTTTGTCTGTAATTGGAGCATAGACTTGGATCACACATTAGTGTGTTTTTGTCTTAAATTGAGATCACAGTGTCGGTGTGTGGAGAGATGCCCGAATATAGACCCAGACACCTTTTGATACTCTATTTTTTATTGCAATTTATGTGTCCACAAGATTGAGACTTGGTACTATTTGGATTTGAAGAGATTCATCCCAGTTTTTTAAAAGTTTCCTAATTTCCAGAATATCAATGTCCAATTTTGCCGTTTCTCTTCCTTGAAATCAGTGAGGTTTGATTTGGCTCTCATTAACTTAAATCCTATTGATTTTAATGGATCAGTATGCCTATCTTTGGATGCAAGCCTGTTACGTTACTAGAATTAAAAATACATAACTTTTCTCTGCAATTGGCTTGCAAAGAGCTGAATTCCAAATCTTCAGGTATTGCTGATATTCTCATAACCTGATTATTCTCTTTATTTTACTTTTTAGAACACACACACACACACACACACACACACACACACTAAATAATAATAAAAGCACATTATAGAACTGGAAGATATGATAAGCATCATAAAAGTAACCATTTATATGTTCTTTCATAAAAGTAAAATACGAATTGTTTTGAAGCTAGATTTAACAATCTTGGCTATGCATCACAGGAATGAAGCATAAACCTTTATGACTGATATTTTCCTGTACCACATCACCTTTTTCTTCAATCCCTTGACATTAAACCTGATTTTAAAGTTAAGCGATAAATGTATATACTTTGTCCGCATCAGGAGATCTGTGAAAAGTTATCTTAAACCAGAAAGTCAGCAGATATGTATTGAATTGATATATATTCTCTCCTTCTCTTTCTCCTTCTTCTCCCTCTCCCTCTCTATATACGTCTGTCTTCTGTTTTAACATGAAAACCAAGATAAATTTGCTTCCAAAACCACAGGCCAGTTTATGCCCACAGAAGATTTAGATATTTGCCTCTGGAACACCTGAAATCAAATGAGCCTTAACTCTGCGGGCCATTTGGAAAGTGCTGAAAACCTGTTTACCCTGGTATAAGATTCAGGAAGTTAGTGAAGTCCAGATGGTTTGATGCTGTTTTTTTTAAAAAAAATTCTCAACTGATTTTAGAGTCAAAATCCTTATCATTCAGCTCTAGAAAGACAAACATATTATGGCTCCAAACCATTCATAGAATTATTATAGAGCAGCTATGGATGTCTGCTATGAATTATGACATCAATTTATTGAAATATGTATGTCTGTAAATGTGCATCTCGTATGTTTTTGTTTCTTCTCTTTTACTTTTTTCTCCCTTTTATAATTTTGTTTTTATTATTTTTTCATTGTTACGTTTTTAAAAAGCTGTTTAGTCTATCATTGGTCATTTAGACTTCCCTAACTTGGTATTGGTTGGGCAGCATTTTTATTGTGAGATCTTGCCACAATGAATGTGTATTAGATACTGTCCCACAAACCAGCTAATAAACACAAGTCTAGGTTGTTGCATTAACCTACCTTGTGTAATTAAGGTTCAGTGTGCCGTATGAATTAAATAATGGCATCATTGTGACTCAGTTTATCTTATGAATAGCTAGTAATAACTAGTAATATGGATACCAAAGTGTTTTCAAGATATACATCAGAGATGGGGAAAGATGGCCCTTTTACGACTTGTGGACTTCAACTCCCAGAATTCCTGAGCCAGTCATACTGGCTCAGCAATTCTGGGAGTTGAAGTCCACTAGTCATAAAAGGGCCATAGTTTCCCATTTCTGCTTTAAGGCAAAAGAAAAAAAAATGCTGCTGAAATTTGACAATACATATTCTTCAGTAAGATGTAGTTTGCCCCTGTTTGTTTTGTAAAGGATATCTGGGAAATTTGCGCAACCAAGCAAACCCAATAGATGAAGTAGCATTGGCTTGTTTAGGATCCTATCCAACACAATCCATGTCACTTTTTTATGACTTGTTCAAGAGCCGAGTTGTAACAAAATTAATTTCCTTTGTCCAGACTGAGCTACTAAAGATGTTTCAATGATTGCTGATTGAGATCTCAAAGCTTGTAGTGTTGTGCAAACATGTTAAAATGGATATAACAGAGTTAATCTTTGTAAGACTCAACTGCTGGATAAAGTAAGCTGACTAAAAGCTACCTGAGGCCAGTTGAATATGTTTTATTTCTTACCAGTGCTCTTGGTTCACTTTTGGTGTTCTCTCATTTGTGTGGGCCTTCTCTGAGACTAAAGTATTTTACTAAAAGTCACAAGTGGTTTCAAAGTGATTGCACAAATAAATGTAACATGTTGACATGAAAAGAGAAATAACTGATAGTTAAACATACCTTAAGTATTCGATGAAATATCAATTGTTTGTATTAATCTCCACAAAGCACGAACATTTGACTTCCGCAGCTAGAAGCTAACTTGACTTAGAACATAATGCCACTTACTTAAAAAAAAGCCAATTAATGCTCAATCTAGATCTAGAAATAGATTTATTTTAACAAGAATTGAACAGTAAACATATATACAATATAATTACAGACAACCCTGTTTTTAGTATGCACAGAAATAGCCAGTTTTGCTCCAGTGTGAAGGAAAAGAAAAAAGAAAAAAGGTAAACTTGGAGATGTTAAATGCTTAGCAAGGCTTACACGCTATAGCAACTCCTTTGGAGGTAGAAAGACACCAAAATCATAAAACTCAGCCTGCCCCGGGCAGTGAGGAATTTTTGTGCCAATTTTTTAAAATTTACACTTTTGTTATGGTTGACAAATAGAAAAAAAAAAAGCTTTGCATGACTTAGTTCCTTTACAGAATTAGTTACAACTGAATAATAAGTTGGAATGCTATCCTTAATGGGAGAGATGTCATTTTGCTGCCTGTATGAGCAATCATTTTGAGATATGGCAAGGTACAAATTTAATAGTAATAATATCTGCTTTGTAAAAATTGACGTTTACCAAAATAGTTTTAGTATGATTGGCCAGCCATCTCTAATACAGTTATCCAAAATGTCCCAATTTAAAAAGAAAATGTATTTGGTATCAAAATCATGTAGGCGTCGGCTGCAGTTCTTTGACTTCCTACAAGTCAAGAGTAAGGCTATGATGCTAAGCCCACTTGGAAGAGGCAGGCTGAAAACGGTGGAAGTTGCTTCCAAGTGGATGTGCTCAGGTGCAAAGGTGACAAAGTCCACGTTACCCCTGCTCTAGGCATGCTGCTGGAAACCATTTATCACCCGAATAGTGTTTTGATGCCATCGTAATGTCCCTATCATGGTGACCAATTACCTGGAACAGGGAAATGTTAAAAAAAGAAAGGAAGAAAGATGGAGTGTCACCACGGGAGCATCTGAGAAGTTGAAAAAATAGGCTGTTCGTGACCAGTAGCCTTCCCCCCCCCACCCTTTCATTCAGTTTGTGTGACTTAACAGATCACATCCCCTTATGGATAAAATGGTGATGCCATTGATGGTTGCTATGGAAAAAGAAAAAGAGCTCGAGATTTCCCTTTCACCCTACAGTATCTGGCATACTGTACTTCACTTGGAAAAAAAAATGGTCTTAATAATGGCCAGTGATGAAGTTTAGCAAACAAACAGTGACCGTTGTTCCCTCCCCAGCTGCCGCAAAGAAAATCAACCGCAATCTCCCTTGCACAGGATTTATCATAATATATATGTTTGTTGTTAGCGATTGCAACCCTGTTGTCCCAGCTGTCAGCCATCCGATCTGCTCCATTTACAATTTTATAAAGAATTTTTTCACATCACAATGCTTCTCTGAAATGTACAATATTTTAATATGCATATAAAAATATAGCCCTGCTTGTGTATATACTTACAACTCTACAGAGGGACCATTTTCCCCACACCGTCTTGCTAAAGAAGGATTTAAGAGACTGCATTCTCAAATTATTATCGTTAAACCCTTGCGAGAAGCTGCACAACCATTTCTTCTCTCAGATGCAGCCACTGAAGCCTCTTGAGCAGAGAGGACTTTTTTTCTTAAGACTCTTACGTACATTTGGCAAAGGAAAGGGGCAGAAGAGAATTTGAAAAAATAGGACTTTTTTAAAGATTCATTTGACAAAAATATAAACAGCGATCTATATGTTCTGGCTAGTGGATTAACACTCAGTGACAATCACAACCCCCCCCACCCGAGGCCTTGCCTCAAATCACTGGCTCAAAATAGGAAACCCAATGGAGAAATGTTCGGTCTAACCGCTGAATAGAGAAATACAAGTTTAATAAAAAGCTCCTAGATGTCTGTTGCTTTACAGATAGGTAGCTGCAATTTTTGTTCATACAGTAGGAAAAAAAAAACAGCTGTAAGGGCCGAAGCAGGCCCTCCTGCGACCAGACCTTTCACACTGGGGTACAGTTTCAGAAAAACTTTTTCATTCAAAGGACGTGGAATGCTAGGAGACGGACAGGCACAACTCTAATGCTTTGCTCTCAGGAGCTGTAACAAACATTGGCTTTGATGGAAGACTGACCTCGGTCGGTGTACTTGGCGAGGAAAGGTTGCTTTTGATCTTTGTTTGAAAAGGTACATTGGTTTAAAAACAAAAAGGTAGCCATCAAAGTGACACTTTGCCCTTCATTTCATGTAGCCCCCCCCAATGCTTAATATGTAGCAGCAAAGCCAAACCCGCACAGTTAACTTCAACAACTGAATTTACTCTCAGCGAGTAGAATGCACACTGTTCATTTCATTCCCCTCTTTGAAACAACGCTCTTGCACCTGGGTAGACCAAAAGCCTGTGCCTGTAGCAAACACCACGGTGACATCTAGTGGCACACGTGTGTTAAATCCTGTTCTTGTCCACAGAATGCAGTCTCTGTTTATTGTTCATCAAAAAGTGAGGATGATTTTCTACATTCAGTGTAGAGATTAGTCATAACTTTAGACAAGGTGTTCTTTTTGTCGGTATCTCCTGATCTCTTTCTGCAGGATTGTTCGTTCTGCTTGCTTTCAGCAGGCAAAAGCCAAGTTTTTGACGGCGTCAACCACTCTGAATGTATTTTTTAATGACTATGCAGCCGTGCCGGAACACTGGACATGGCATGTTGGGGAGCAGCGTCCATGTGTTGGTGTTGGGGTCATAAGCTTCCATATTTCCTAGGGCGGGGCCTTCGCTGCTGACAATTCCACCAGTGGCGTAAATTTTTCCATCAAGGACCACAGCGCTGTGCAGAGAGAAAAAGAGGGGATAGGAATGCAGTTAGTAACAACCCGCTAAGCCGTCGCTCTATTTAGTAATTGATCCTGCTGTTTGAAAGAACAGCGTCCGCATTAGAGTCATAACTGCCACCAACCAATGACTATAAGAATCAGCACATCCAGCCTTTGCTCACCTTAATTAGTTTTCAGATTTCTCCCGTGGGTGGAAAGGCTACCACAGGTGTCAATGAAGGGGACAGGAATTGGCCCAATCTTTCCCTTGCTGGGATCATTTAGATCCCCATATACACAAATGGAAAGAGAAAATTCAGGACAGCTTTCTAGCGTCTATGCCAGGGGTCTTCAAACCTGGCCCTTTTCTGACTTGTGGACTTCAACTCCCAGAATTCTGGGAGTTGAAGTCCACAAGTCATAAAAGGGCCAAGTTTGAAGACCCCTGGTCTATGCAAAGATAGTCATTCTTTTTCAATGACAGTATGGAGGGATGAAGGGACATCTTATGCAGCTTTGGTCTGCTTCCTGGAGGCTGTGCAGAATGCAATGAAAATCTAATGGGTGATTCCTGGGGCAGAAAGTCGAGCTACTCTCCTAACTCCCCATAGGTCCCCAGGCTGCTTGGAGAGGCCAACCAACAGGGAGATGCAGTGAGCAGAGGAACTGAGGAGAATGGGAAATGCCTTCTCATTCTACTGACACAGCTGTCAACAAAACAGCAGCAGCAGCAGCATTTCGGTCCTGATTTGGGAGTGGGGTGGGGCTCAAGAGGAAGAAGAGAAGACAGCTACTCCATGCAATTACCCGACACGGTTCCTCCCTCACCCTCACTTCTGTCGTTAAGAGGGAACAACCACTTCCCAACCAGAGGGGAAAAATATATTTGTATTTGATTTTTATCCCACTTGTATTACTTCATTAGTAACTCAAGGCAGCGAATTGCAAATGTTCTGTGTTGTGTGGCTTCTAGAAGAGAAAGTCGGAGACCTCCCCTCTTTACTACAATGGGCTCAGGTGCTGCAATGGGATCCAGGTGTTTTTGCATTTTGCGTGCACGAGAGCAGCATTCAAAACCAGAAGGCAGAACTGAAAGCATCTTGGTTTAGGAATGTTATTATTTAATAGTTAAGATCTTGAGGACAGAGCTTGGTACTTATGGTTTTGACATTGCGCTGGCAATGTAAATAGGAAATGCCATTTTGTTCCTTCTTCCTAAAGAGTATGTTGTGCGTGCTGATTATATAACATGCATGAAACAATGGTTCTTCTTTGCATGGATTTTATTTTTATTTTTTAATTCACAGTTTTAGGAACCATTTTAACATCCTTTACTACAATGCAGAATAATACATCTGAATGTATGATGAGAATGATATCAAAAGAATTTGTCAGCTTAAAAGCGTTTAAGAGGTCCCCAACCTTTTGGGCACCAGGGACCGGTTCTGTGGAAAGAGGTTTTTTCCACGGACCGGAGGGGGCGTGGTTTTGTGGGCTGCCTGCATCCCATGGATGTGCCATGCCACAGCCTGGTACTGGTCCATGGACCGGGGATTGGGGACCCCTGATTTACACTTAAGCTAAACATTGTATTACCATGCCCCTTTACTGGAGAAATGTTTGGCATATTTGGCGCTTTCATATTTGAAAGCCACATTTCTTTTGGCTCTCAAGTCGTATAAAAGCTTGCTCTTGTGCCGGTGCTGTTTGAACCTCAGTCCAACCTGTATACCTGGTTTCCCAATGAGGAAATTTCAGCATCTGGCCTGAACAATGGATAACTCAAATGGCAATGGCAGAGGAAGCAAAATATATGAGAATTTCATTAGGCAGGTAATAAATTTACTGCATGACAGCTGTGCTCGGGCACTCAGTTTTTAAGGCGTTCTCTCACGCTCTTCCATCATCGATCCCTGAAAGCGACTGTTTTCTGGCCAGATGTGAGCATTTCTGACGGCAGAAGAAGAATTCCTCGTTAACATCTGGAGGTATTTTGCCTGATGCTGAATCATCAATATCAATTTCTTCCAGAGTTTTTGCTGAGAGTTTTTGTGATCCAAACATGTTTATCCTCCATTCTTTGTTCTCAGGGCTTGTCACGGCGAAGCATTTCACAATCTCAGTGTGACTGGGTTGTGAACATTAATCCTTGTCCAGATATCACAGCGAAAGGAAGAAATATCCTCTCTAGTAGTCCTTGAGGTTATAAAAGAACATTTAAATGACTAAATTAGCATGTTCATATGCGTCATGTTCTTTCAAATTCTTGCTGCCAATTTTAGTAACTGAAAACGGGAACAGAGCCACACTTAATTTAGCTGGAACTGCTCCAAATAGTCATTTAAAAAAGAACAAAAAACACTTCCCTTTTATGGTATTTAGGAAAGATATTTTTTTTAATTAAAAAAAAAAGGCAATAAAAAAATAACATCCCAGTGAAATCTGGTTATATGGTAAGAGGCTATTTCATCTTCAGATTCCTGAATTGTCTCTCCGTTTTCGTTTTGGGAACAGAAGCACCACTGAAGATTAATACTGGGTGATCCCAAATGAAGATCCCAAAGCAGCACTGTTGTGAAGACACCAGCGTATCAAGCCTAGCAATTTTTAACACATGAATGCTACTTGGGAAAACCAACCACAAGCTTATTACTCAGCCTATGCCATCCAATAGCATTTAGTGGTAATGAACAGATGTGCTGAGAGGGAGGTTTCTGTGCTAACACACTTGCCAATAAGAGGAAAAAGCAACAATTTCCCATTAAGCGACTGGCAAATTAAGGCTGGGCCAGCCCTTCTCCTCCACAGTGGCACAGCCCACTTCCTTCCTACAGGCCAGGCATGGGTGCCAGGGTACATCACCCTCTGATTCCTGTGGCGGCTAAGGCATCTGAAGGGGGAGCAAGGTTAGAGCAGGTGGGGGGGGGATAAGAAAAAGCTGCAGGATAACACGAGGAAGAGGAGGGTCAGGATTGCTTCCTACTTTCACTTCGGAAAAAGATTTAGGAAGTTTTGTTTTACAAAAATGCTTTGGCGCTTATTAGGATTTGCACTGTGATCTCAGGCATCGTATCTCAAAATAATGGAATCCGTTTCAGTTCAGTTCAGTTTTTGGCAACGCACCTTATGAAAATTGTAGGAAGTAGGAGTAGGGAGATAGAAACAGAGAAAGGATAAATGATTTGGTGCATACAGTATGCAATTCTACAGGTACCTTCCTCACTCCTGTTTTATACTTTCAGCAAAATATTTTGCGTTAACAAATGGGAAAATTCTATCCAGCAAACCAATAATGATTGTTTATTTCGGACGCCATTCAGTATCTGTCTTGATCACTCTGTTCAGTGGGACACAAAGTCAATGTTTAACTTTCATCCTTCTGATGAAGGATGGCAAGGAAAGACATGTGATTCAGCAAAACCTGGGGATCCAAGCCACTCTGGTAAGGGCAAGTGTTCTGTTACTCAGCTATAGCCTGTCTGGTTCCCTGGCATTTCTCATCAGCTTTGGTGCTGCTTTTCCTTCTTCCTGATGCTCCAATCTGTTCAATAACTGAAGTTCTTCTTCCTTACCCTCCTACTCTTCATTCATCACCTGACCAAGCCACCCACCAAATCCAACCTAGCCCTTCACAAGGAAGACCAAGCCAAATTGGGAGATTCTACAGGTAGGACTAGCAATCCCTCTTGGCTTCTTGCAAGATTCTGAGGAGGCACCACCAAGGCCACTTGGAGAGGACTGACGTGGTCTTTGTCAAAGTAGTACAAGGTCAGAAGACATGGAGAAACCTGGCCCATAAAATCACCAAGAGTTGGACACAACTGAATGGATATTATATCATCATCATCATCATCATCATCATCATCATCATCATCATCATCATCCTGACTACTTGCAGGCTATGGAATGCCTGGCCACACAACAGTTTTGCTGGCTTTTTTATTTGTTACCGCAGTAGCTGCACAGTACCAAAAACAAAAGGCAGAATCTTATAACCTGCAACAGCGGCTGAGCCAGCAGGACATAACAGTTATCTCAACTTCCTGCCTTGTGGGATGGAGAGAGTCTAAGGATTTCACTGGGTGAATAGCAGAAATTGTTTGAAGTTCAGGTTCACGGATATTGGCTGAGTCACATCCCTAGCTTTCACCTCAGCATGGCAGATAACAATGGTCTTTAATAGAGTCTGTTCATACTGTTTCTCATCCTTGGCAAATTTAAGTAGACTTCAGTTCCCCAAATTCCCCAGCCAACACACTGGCTGGGGAATTTTAAGAGTTGAAGTCTGCGTACCTTAAGAGTTGGTAACGTTGAGAAACACAGGTCAATACCATCAGTCACCTGGGCATCAAAACCCTGGATGACCACCAGATACAGAAGATCCTAACTCTCAGCAGCCATCTAGCAATTATCCAGATGTCTTTAGCTCCGATCTGATCTACTTAATATTATTTATCATCTTGGTCAAGCATAGTCCCACTGCTAGGTAGCAGTGGCTAAATGCTTCCATTATGGCACACAATCTCATGATCTAGCCTGTTAAAACTGATCATTAAAAACAATGGAAACCCTAATTAAACTGAAATTCAAGTGGGCGGAACTCTGTCAGTTTTCTTTAACGCTAAATTCTTGTTATAGTGCTTTTACATTCCTATTCCACCTCCGTTTGGAGATGTCATTGTGTAATTTTGAGTGGTGTTAACTGTTGAGTGATTTGAGCATTTTGGAAAAGAAGGAATAAAATAGTATAAAATAAATCATACGCTGAACATCAATTTTAAGTTGCTTTGGTTTTATATTGATCAGGAATACCAAGCCTATCCTTTCTCTGATTACATCTTTAGGGGCAAAGAGAGACAAAAGGACATAGGTCTCTCCTATGGATATTATTATTATTTATAAAACAGTGCTTCTAGTGCATGGAAGAGATGGGCAAATCCTTACTCAGAAGCTCAAAGTGAGGAGGAGTATACATTTCCTGCTTGCTGAGAGGCACAGAAAAAGCAGAGACAAT